TTGGCCTCCCTCTCAGGCAGGTGTTCTTAACCAGTTTAGGGGCCATAAACACTGATGGTGGGCTTCCCTGGCGGCTCAGACAGTAAAGAATCTGCTTGCAGTCCAGGAGACCTGGGCTCAATCCCTGGGTTGGGAAGATCCCCTGGAGGAGAGCATGGCAACCCATTCCAGTATTCTTGCCTGGAGAATCCCATGGACAGAGGAGCCTGGAAGGCTACAGTCCATGGGGTTGCAGAGAGTCAGAGACGACAGAGCACAGCACAAACATTGATGGAAAAAATCCACTGTTACTCTCACTAACCTATCATTAAACTTTAGTAATCCCTGCTATTATGACATAAGCAACACATCCCTTGAATATTAACAGTCGCTGAAACCGTTCCCAAGAGAAATGATAAGATACTTTATATTACATTGCAGCTTGAAAAGAGAGCTCAAAATGTCATTCACATTCATCACTACTTCCAAAGCATGGTAGTTATTCAGTTCAGTTCAGTTCAGTTCAGTTGCTCAGTCATGTCTGACTTTTTGCAGCCCCATGGACTGCCGCACACCAGGCTTCCCTGTCCATCACCAACTCCCAGAACTTGCTCAAATTCATGCCCATGGAGTTGGTGATGCCATCCAACCATCTCGGTAGTTATAACAACCATCATGGTAGTTAATAACCCTGATCTTAATCTGATAATTTAAGGTCTTAAATATTTAACTTAGAAAAGTTAATATAAATATTGATACAATTATACTATAAATTTAAAAAAATATTTTGATAAGAGTATGTCCATATAATTGATTTTTTTGGCATACCTATGTATTTTATTTAATACCTTTTATTCAATACACTGTTTTGAGAAGGGGCTATGAACTTCAGAAGATGTCAGAAGCACTCATGACATTCAAAGGTTAAGAACTCTATATCAGGGTCAGCTGCCGAGGGTAATAAAAACTTCTCAGAGAAGGAAAAATGAAGGTGGGATTTGTGTCATTCTTGGATTTTGAGAAAATCTGATTAACTTAAGAGATGATTTACCACAAAGGAGACAGGCATTTATTTGGTATACTAGAAGGCACATGGAAGATCATGCAAAGGCTGCAGCACAGACTGATCACAAGCTAGAGCCCACGAGTGGAGATTCTTGCATTCAAATCTCAACCATTCACTCCTTGAGTGACCTTGAGCAGCTCTCTGTTTCCTCATCTATGAAGTAAGAGTCATACACACCCCCACCTTGGAGGGTCTCTTCTGAGGACTGCGCAAGATAATTCCTGTGACCTGCTCAGCTCAGCCCCTGACACATGGTGGATGCCCCTCACTGCAGGTTTTTTAAAGTCAGCCAAATTTTGTTTCCATTTTCTCCTCCACATTCTTTCTGTGCTTTTTCCGCCTAATGATGAGATGCCTCCTTCACCCCATCATACAGACCAACTTCGCAAAGCTGCTTTCTGTCTCTCCTTCCCTACACGCTCTCCTCCCATCAGAACCCACTCTCGGATAAGCCCTGCACTATTGCTTATGTCTCTGCTTTCTTTTCAGTGCTTCGTTACCTCTTCCAGGGACGACAATCTTATTGTTGAGTGAGAAGCCTTTTCTCCCAGCAAAAGATCAATTTCGGTTTACTGGAGCAGATAAAAGTAATGTTTCTCTTCCCATGTAAAGTGCTTGCCTTCTGCTTTTATACAACCCACTTGTGCTGTTCAAGTCTGACCTTGTCCAAAGTCTCTTTACCTCTCATCTTCACTTCTGATACCACTGAACACATAGGCCTGCCCTTCCTCTGGACACCAGACTAGGCCACTCTTCTTTATCACTTTCCTCTGCTTTTCTAGGGCAAGGCAGCTATTCTCAGGGACAGGGGCCTGATATCTTTCTTTTATATTCCTAGGGATCCCCAACTGAGCATTTAAAGAAAGAATGGCTATAAACATTTTTAGGAGTTCTTCCCTAAAGCCTCCTGATCTCCACGTCTGTGCTGAAAGTTCCCAGGGGTAGGATGAGTTAAACTTGGCTTGCAAAGGAACCAGGAATGTCTCTGTTAAACTCTTTAAGAGTCTCCAGAGAAGGTCAGGCTGGAGATGAACCTCCTCTCAAGGGTTCTTGGAAAGGATCCTTCTCTTTCCAAGATTGATGCTCCCTACATTCATGAATGCTGTGGTAGAAAAACTCTGGACTGAGCTTCAGGAGCTCTGGGGTCTCACCCTGGCTCTTACAGTTACCAGCTGTGTGATATTGAACTTCTCTTCCCCTCTCTGGACTTCAGTTTCATTACCTGAAAAATAAATCATTGGAATTTGATATTCTTACACTCTAGGAAGGAGAACTGGATTCATTCTTCATGGACACATTCCAAAATTAATCATATTTTTCAAGAAACAGGACGTGTGTTTATAATTTTCTGACAATCTTACAATTTCTTAAGCATTCTTTTCCACACTGAGCATGGAACTTGTTTCACGCTTCAGGGCTTGCTATGGTGACTGCCATTTCATAATGTCTTTAAGAAATTATTCTTTAAATGTATACTCATTAGGCAAAACCTCTCAAAGTTTTACTCTAAACCTGCCCTCCTCTTTTACTTTGGTTTAGGAGATGGTTTGATTTTATAAAATCATGTTTTTATTCTTCTATATGGGACAATGTGCATATCTCTTTGCATACTGAAAGTATTTAGAAAATAGAAAAGAAATATATAGGTACAAGTGCCACCCTGTTGGATTTTCTACCAGTTTTTAGAGAAGCAATCAGCTGGACAGACCACTGCTCAGCTCAGTGACTCAGCCGCTAATCTGAAAGAGATGTAGTACCCTAGGTTCATCTCCTGGCTCATTTTCCATGTGTGGACACTGAGCCTGTTCAAAGATTTAGCCTTAGTTAATGTAACTAGCATAAAGTGGTCCTCAGATTTCCAGTCTTGGCACTCAGGTGCTATGGTTTTACCAAAGTAGATTTATAGGAAAAAAATATAAAGCAGCTAAATCTCTTTAGGATGGAGAGAAGTTCACAGGCAAGAGGAACATGAAATAGAATTGTTCTCAGAATTCATATGATCATGGAATCAGCTTCTATTCAGTGTTCACTCAGAAAACCAACATACGGTAACTGGAAAAAGAATAAGGGAGGGAGGAAATTACAGCAATACTATGGTTAATAATTATATATAGAGAGAGACTATTTATTTCACTTGATAATAACATTTTCATTCATTGTACAATTACAAACAGACATCTAGAAATATTACAGACAGGCAAACAAGTGAAAATTTGATATTTGATCAGGAAGAGGTTTCAATGTCACATGTAAAAAGCTCCCATTTAATACAGTCAACTCATGTTTAACATTCCTAATGGAAAATGAACATAAGGACAATAAATTATGTCATATTAATATTTTTCAGTTCAAACTGAACTATTTCAGTTCAAACTAAAACTATTTTCCTAGTTTTAGAATGCAATAGAATTGCCTTCCAAACCAGATTGGCTTCAGGCTAATATTTTAATTAGTTTTCATTCTCTGAGAGTATTCTAGTTAAACCAGAGGGTAAATCTTCTGGATGATGAATAAAAAGAAACAAACAGATTTTTGAAATATGTCTTCCAGGCAAATACAGTAACTATTAAAGAAACAACAAAAAAAAACTTTGCCACCAAAACTAAAGAGTTGACTATATTTGGAGGGGGAAACACCATACATACATCACTTAAATAGCATTATATCAATAGATATGCTGCTCTAGAATTATTTAATAAGAAGATAAATCCATTCCACATCTATACACCCCCATGAGATGAAACTGGACTGAGAAACAAGTATCACATTCCCCAGATTCATGCTGGCTAGGAACAGGCATGACTGATACTTCCATGATCAATCACAAAGATGCTCCGATTCTGAAGTTCCTAAAACCCTGAGCTCATTTTCTGACTGGAGACCTAGCTACCATTTCCTTTCACAATTCTGCCACCAAATTTCAACGTCTTATTGTACCAATCTGTTAATAGGAACATAATGCACACATAGAACTGCTAACAGGGATAAAGGAATAATTCACACAAACAATATGAAAGAGGGAGATGGTGAGGATTCTATGATATATAAGCTAAGATGACAAGCTTTTCCTTGTCCAGGGCACTACACATAGCTATTAGTCCACTCTTGATTACTTGCATGGTTGAAAGAGTTTTCCCATATATTATCTCATTGGTTCTTCACGGTCATCTCATTGGTAGCTGTCACAGGTTTTATATCATCTTCATTGCCTCCAAGAGGCCTTATCCAGGCCCATACAGGTGATAGATTCAAGGCTGGATCAGATCTTCTGGTTCCAAATTTCCAAATTCAAAACACCAAACAAAGGAGGTGGATTTAAAAGAGGGACAAGCCCTCAATAAGCCTGTAGTCTCTGAATCTCACTGTTGGGCCCCCCACCACCTATTTGTATGTTTCTTTCTTTCCTGGGTGCCCAGGGTGAGAGTCAGGACCAGGGATAGAAGGAAGATTGCAGAAAGAGCCAGGAACTTGCTTTGTATTCTTGCCCCAGGCCAGGAAGTGTTAGGAGTGAACTCAAGCCTAAGAACAATCCCAGAGATAGGTTATCTCAGTGTCTGATGAGTAGCTGAGATGATCCGGAGAGAACCTCACCCTACAAACATATAGACCACAGTTTTAAGTGACTACTCAGGCTCCCTTCTGGAAAACCCATTATTCCACACTATGTCCCATCATTTTTGTTTGTTTTTGTTCAATCCCTATTTCTTTCTGCCAATCAAATATCATCAACAGATATAGATTTCACCAGTGCCTACACTTAGCACAAATTAGATGTTAATTGAATGTCAGCCACTGGTGATGGTGTAGTCACACCAGTTTTAGAGATTCTGAGCTCCCTGAACACAGAACTGACATATTTGTCCATTTCTTTTTCCCTATGCGGCAAACCTAGAGTTCTTGGTTGATAGTGTGGGCTTCAGCACATTGTTAGGGGCCCAAAGGTCCTATTCTGGAGTTATTTCAGCCTGATGCAGTCCACCTCTTCTGTGGCAGGCACCCCTGTGGTTTTGAGGTCAAGGTCCCCACTGGACTTACTGTCATTATAAGAAGCCTTCCAGTGGAGCAGCATAATCTTCTTGAAGTACTTGATGGTGTTATTCTTGACAGTCACGAAGCACACGGTGTTGATCATGCTGTTGCTCATTGCAATACACTCGACCACGTAGAAAGCCGTGAGATAGTGTTTCTCCTTCACAAACACTGTGGGGAAGAAGTCCCGCACGATGGTGAAGCCGTAGAAGGGCGCCCAGCACAGCACGTATGCTGTGAGGATGCACATGAGCATCAAGACGGTCTTCCGGCGACAGCGCAGTCGCTTTCGGATTTGCTCCGTCTGGAAACCAGGGACGGCCTTGAACCAGAGCTCTCGGGAGATCCTGGCATAGCATAGGGTCATGGTGACCACTGGGCCCACGAACTCGATGCCAAAGATGAAGAGGAAGTAGGACTTGTAGTAGATCTGCTGGTCTACTGGCCAGATCTGGCCACAGAAAATCTTCTCCTGGCTCTTAACAATGATGAGGACCGTTTCAGTGGTGAAGTAGGCTGATGGTATGGCAATGAGGATGGACACCACCCACACCAAAGCAATCAAGCCGGTGGCTGTTTGATACTTCATCCGGGGTCTCAGCGGGTGGACAATGGCCAGATATCTAGGATAAGGACACAGTTGGTATCAACATGTAGTAAGGAAGTGCTGGAGGATATTATTTTTGCAACATTGAGGCACAATCAAATGGCACCTATGGTATGTGGGCTTCCAGGAAAGGCAGACTTGCCTGCCAGCTCCAGCCCCACATCTTACTAGCTGTACAACCTCAGGAAAGTTATTTTTAATTGAAGGACAGCTGTTTTACAATGTTAATTTCTGCTGTATAGCAAATATACAATAGGATCCTGTGCTATACAATAGGATCTTGCTTTTTACCCATTCTACATATAATAGTTTGCATCTGCTAATCCCCAACTGGTAATCTATCCCTGTCCCAACCCCTACCCCTTGCCCCTTGGAAAAAACAACTATGTTCTCTATATCTGTGAGTCTCTTCTGTTTCATAGATAAGTTCATTTAGGTCATATTTTATGGCAACCCACTCCAGTATTCTCGCCTGGAAAATTCCAAGGACAGAGGAGCCTGGTAGGCATGGGGTCTCAAAGAGTCGGACACAACTGAGCCACTTCATTTCACTTCACTTCTTAGATTTCACATACAGGTGATACCTTATGATATTTATCTTTCTCTTTATGACTTACTTCACTGAGTATGATAATCTCTAGGCCCATCCGTTTTGCTGCAAGTGACATTATTTCATTGTTTATGACGAAGTAATATTCCATTGTATATACGTACCACATCTTTATCTATTCAGTAGTCTATGGACATTTAAGTCGTTTCCATGTCCTGGCTATTATGAATAGTACGGCTTGAACATAGGGCTGCATGTACATTTTTGAATTAGCATTTTCTCCAGATATATGCCCAGGACAGGCAACTTATGTTTAATCTCTCTGAATCTCGACTTCCTTATCTGCAAAAGTTTTCGCCTGTTTGTTTTTAAAGATTAAACGTGCCAGTATACACACAATTTCTGGCACAGTTTTAAACATGGTATACACTCAATAAATGGTAACTATTATTATTAAATGTAATAATAACATTTCCTATGGGTTTCTAGCCTGGCACTATTCCCAGGTTCATGCTGTTTTCAGGGAAATTCATCCTAATTACCCCACAGTTTAGAGTTAATAGGACTTGATAATTCCAAGGACTTGTTGGGAGAATTTGCCCTTTCTGATAGAACTAGTGGGCAAGGTTTTGCTTTCATTCCATGCTTTTAAATACATTAAAACCATTGCTCTACATGCAAAGGTGAAAGAAAAGCATGTGACCACTTATCTTATTTTTCAGGCTGGAAAATGCAACTTGGTGAGAAATGACTGACTTTCTCAAGGTCATATACCATAGTACTCTCAATAGAAAACATTTAACCCTATCTCACATGGTTGATGTGAAAATCAATTGAGAATATACATGAACATGTGTTTTGAACCACAAAGCAACAGAGAGTAAAAGATATTGGTTTTGTCCTTTCCCCCTAAACCACACTGCTGTTGCCACAGTTGTTCAGGAGAGAAGAGAAAGCATTTGCTGGGGGATGTGTGTTGTTCGTGCAGCATGAAAGCATCCTTCCCAGAGCGAGCGCACACACTTAGGCAGACAGCTCTGATTTCCTGGAAGACATTCTGTCTGGCAGGGGGTAGAAGCAGGAGAAGGAGAAAGATGGAAAGTGAAGTGGGAGGGAATGACTAATCAACGCTGGAAATAAACATATCCTCATGCATCCACAGCTTATTCCTGGTAAAACCAAGGGCAAACATGACAGGGGCTTGAAGAAAGCTAAACAATTCTGTTTTCTTTGCAACTGATCCCCTTGACGTCATCTTACTTGGAATTCTGATTGGAAGGGGAGGTTCATTCTTTTTTTTTTCATATCATATTTCTGCTGTTTCTGTCCATCCCATAACACAGACAGCCAACCCCGCTGAGTGTCACTTGGAGAGTTCATTGGCTCTCTTCCAGATGTTAGATGAAGTTGGATGGGTTGGGTTCACCCTGGCCACCCAACTGACTGCTTGACAGGTTCTACCACCAGCAACAAACCCTGATACTCGCCAGTCTCCCAGGCTGGATGCTAAGGGTGAAGTGGGAATGCCTGCAGCGTGTTGGCAGTGCCTTTGTCAATGCATGCAGTGGACCTCCCTGAAGACCACGTCGCTCCTGCTGTAAGGAGGACAACCAATCTGCTCTGAGGCATAACAAAAACTAAGAGTTTAGAGCTTTTGTTCTCATCATCTCTCTCCCTTATTTACCCCACCATATTCTGCTGATTACTCTGTCAAAGAATGTTTCTGTATTCATACTTGCTTGCTATCTGAACTTACACTATACAATTCTATTCCTCCTTTTCCCACTAGTAATTTCCTAAGTCTTTATGATGTTTTGAACTCAGAGTGTTTTTTCAATGACCATGTAAGAGAGAATACTGATCCAGGAATGAGAATATTAAGAATCTAATCCCAGCTTTGCCACAAACATGTGAATTTGTCATTTTTTTTAGCCCTGTGGACTCGATTTCCTTATCTGTGACATGGGAATATCAACTATCTTTCCAAGCTCACAGAGATACTGTGAGGCTCCAAAGTGACACTGCATATAAACAATAGACTGCTAATATGCAAGAAATTGTTAGTATCCTAAAATGTATTTTTCAGAGCTATTTTGCATAGCAAGCAATTTTCTTTCACCTGTTACTGGCAAATCCTGCATTTGCAAGTTCTCTGCTACTTGGCTCTATTTTATTGGATCTACTTTATTGGATTTATTCATTTTTGCATCAGCACTAATCTTCAGGGTAATCTGTGACTGTCCATCAGTTCATCCTGACATCACCCCACCACCATCCCCAAGGTTAGCACCAGGAGGTGTGCAAGAGGTCTTCCAAATATATTTACCAATAAGCAAATTGCAGAAAACTGTTTCAAGGATAGCCACCAGCCTTAGCTATGCTATACTCTGAACTCCAATATTAGTAAGTAAAAGTCACTCAGTCGTGTCTGATTCTTTGTGACCCCATGGACCGTAGCCCACCTAGCCCCTCTGTCCATGGGATTCTCCACGCAAGAACGCTGGAGTGGGTTTCCATTCCCTTCTCCAGGGGATCTTCCCAACCCAGGGATTGAACCCAGGTCTCCTGCATTGCAGGCAGATTCTTCACTATATGAGCCAGCAGGGAGGCATATTATTACTAATACTTGCTTAAGTTTGTAAAGCAATTTACAATTTACAGAGCATTTTAAAATCTGCTTTCTCGTTAGATAACCCCAACCCTATTGCTAAGGAAGCAAAGATGCCCATCTTACAGATGAGCAAACTGAGATGTGAAGAAGTTAAATAACTGTCAAAAGCCATGCAGCTAGTAATTGACAGAACTATGATGCAGATCCATCCGTGTCTTTTTCCAAATCTCGTGGGTTCTCCAGTACTCCAATGTTCTTTCCATTTCCAACCAGAACAAGCAACCCTTCATCCTTCCCTCCTGAAATCCTAGCAGCCCCTCTCTTCTTTTCATCATAGTCAGTTTCTACCTATAGATGTTTCAAAATGGAGTTAGACAGTTGGCAACTACTTTTCTTTGCTTAGGAGTATGCCATTGGCTTGACCAGTGTGTCTATCACTACAGTGGCTCAGGTTCAAATCCACTTAGAGTCAGCATTTCCCAGAGAACAAAGAGTGAAGGCTGCCAAACAAAGAAATGTCCAGCCACTAGCTGTGTGATGGCAGTGGGTTGTGTGATTAAGCAAAGAGGCTTGGAGCTCCCTCTCTGTCCCCGGGACTCAGCCCCAGATCTCATCATGGAAATGGTGATCACAGTGGCTACTCGGTGGCTCATGGGATGGGCAGCTAATGCACAACCTGCTCCTTAAACAACCAGTAAGCTCAACAGGAAGTACTGGTGCTTCCTAAGGCTGAGTGCTGTTCCTCCGGCCTTAGTTGCCTCATCCAGACAAGAGCTACCAACAGGCAGGCTGACTGGTCAGCTTCCCTAGATTCCAGGTAAAAGAAGGGACTCCAGTGCCCTATATGCCCGAGATCCAAAGATACACCCCGAGGATTGTGCGGCTGCCTCCACATCAAAGAGGAAACCCAGACCTAGGGGACAGAGCGCTCTAAGGGTTTTTCCTCAATTTCCTGTTACCCTCAGGTCTGACTCCTGGTGCCCAGATTTTGTGATCCTGTACAGCAAGGTCCTACTGTTTTTAAATTTTATTTTGTTTTTAATTGGGGGATAATTACTTTACAATAATGTGATGGTTTCTGCCATATGTCAACATGAATCAGCCATAGGTATACATAGATATACATATCCGTCTTAAACTTCCTTCCCACTTCCCTCCCCATCCCACCCCTCTAGGTTGTCCCAGAGCACCAGCTTTGGGTTCCCTGTATCATACAACAAATTCCCACTGGCTATCTACTTTACATATGGTAATGTATAATGTTTCAATGCTACTCTCTCAAATCATCCCACCTTCTCTCTCCCACACTGTGTCTAAAAGTCTGTTCTCTATGTCTGCATCTCCACGGCTGCCCTGTAGATAGGTTCATCAGTACCGTCTTTCTAGATTCCATATATATGCATTAATATACAGTATTTGTCTTTCTCTTTCTGACTTACTTCGCTTTCTATAATAGGCTCTGGGTTCATTCACCTCATTAGAACTGACTCAAATGCATTCCTTTTAACAGCTGAGCAACATTCCATTGTGTATATGTATAATTTCTTTATCCATTCATCTGTCAGTGGACATCTAGGGTGCTTCCATGTCCTAGCTGTTGTAAATAGTGTTGCAATGAACACTGGGGTACATGTGTATTCTTCAGCTATGGTTTCCTCAGGGTATATGCCCAGTAGTGGGATTGCTGGGTTGTGTGGTAGTTTTATTCCTAGCATTTCAAGGAATCTCCAGTCTGTTCTCCACAGTGGCTGTTTCAATTTGCATTCCCACCAGCAGTGTAAGAGGGTTCCTTTTTCTCCATACCCTCTCCAACATTTATTGTTTGTAGACTTTTTGATGATGGCCATTCTGATGGGTATGAAATGATACCTCACTGTAGTTTTGATTTGCATTCTCTAATAATGAGCGATGTTGAGCATCTTTTCATGTGTTTATTAGCCATCTGTATGCCTTCTTTGGAGAAATGTCTAAGTCTTCTGCTCACTTTTGGGTTGGGTTGTTTGCTTTTCTGGTATTGAGCTTCATATGCTTGTTTATTTTGGAGACTAGTTCTTTGTCAGTTGTTTCATTTGCTATTCTCTCCCACTCTGAGGATTGTCTTGTCACCTTGCTTATAGTTTCCTCCTTTGTACAAAAGCTTTTAAGTTTAACTAGGTCCCATTTGTTTATTTTTTAGAGCAGGCTCCTGTTCTTTCTGATCTCTACTCTCTTACATTCTTTGCTCTGTCCCCACACCTCCTGTCCTCCCCGGATCTCACTCTCACCTCAAGCATTTTCACCGCTCAGCTTTTGCAAACACCATTCTACCCTCTTGGAAATCCTTTCTTCTTCTTTACTGATTGTCACTGGTTGAAGCCAAGTTAAAAATCTGTCTCCTGCATGAGGTCTCCTTTGACTTTTCTGGTATCAGATGATCTTCCCCTTTTCCAAATTTAATTTCAAACTGACGCTTTACTTCCCCTCCAACTCTTCCGGGTTAGTTCTCACCCCTCCCTGCACCCTGGATGACAAACTTCCCAAGAACAGGGATCATGTCTTACTTCTTTCATAACCTTTTGCTGACTGTGAACTCTTGGAACTTAATCTTAATAAAACTTCACCCTCGACAAGTACCTAGCCCTGGATGAACAGAAACATAATAGGCCACGGTGACAGTTCTCAAAAAAATTGCAACCTGTTTTTGGAAAACAGGACATCAACGTGTTTACCCTGCATGAAACTGGCAGGCGGTCTGGAGCTCAATAATAAGACATTGGAAAAGCAGATGAAAGGATTCCAGCCGTGTTCTGTAGACAATGGTGGTGTTAGAGGTCTTTCAAGCAAGAGAGGGAAGGGTGTATGAGGCAGAAGATTAATTTGGCTGTAGTCTTGCTTTCTTCCCTCAGTCTACAGGGCCCTTCTCACTATTCCTACAACCTTCAATTTTGTTCCCATCTTGAGGCCTTTGCACACTGTGTCTGGAATACTCTTTCCCAATCTTTACAAGGCCAGTTTTTTTTTCCTCCATCATTCAGAGATCTGTTTCAATATCTCTTATGAGACACTTTTCCTGAATCCCACCTAGAGCATCTCCCACACTCCATCACTCTCAGTGTTTGCTTGTGTGTCTGTCTGTCTTATTGAGGAACACTTAATTTACAATGTTGCATTAGGTTCAGGTGTATAGCAAAGTGATTTAGTTATGCCTACATGTACTTGTTTTTTTGATTCTTTTGCCTTATAGGGTATGTATATTTTTGCTTTTACTCAGAGTATTTCTGATGTTCTGAAATTACCTTCCTTCTTTGCTTGCCTGACTGGTCTCTCTCCATCAAGCTCCATGAGTGCAGGGAGTTTTTTTTGCTTATTCACCATCATTTCACCAGTGTTTGTAATAGTATTTGTCATATCGAAGGCTCTCTATAAAAATGCATTGTTTGAATGAATAAATGAGTGAATGAATGAATCTTTAGGATGGATTGTGAGGGAGTAGGTTTGGCAGAGAGGCAGAGCTGAGAAATACTGGTGGCCAGAAGCCCAAGAGGAGACTGTGATAGTTCCGCCCTTGCTGAAAAAGTGGGAGGTGGGAGCGGGGCCTGTGGGCAGGGGGTACTGTCAGGCCCTGGGAATAAAATGAATGATGGAGAAAGGGAGAAAGCAGCAAGGACAAAAGGGATTTGCCAGGTTAGATGCCTGGGAGAACCATGGAACCAACAGTAGAGACAGAGAACAGGTAGGAGATAAATAGTTTTGTTCTACTATAGCTTGAGAGCTGTATTTCTTAGAAACTTTGTAGTATTATTTCTTTAATCAAATCATAAAACAACCACTATGATGAAAGCAAAGAGGCTAGCCAATCAGAAATAGTCATAGTTTATCTGGTTTTGTTATTACTGTTCCTTTAAAGGATAATTTACACATTATAACATCCGCTGTTTATTTAGTACTTACTCTGCTTTAAGCATTGTTCTAAAGAACTACATGTGTTATTTCATGTTATCCTTAAAGCTATCCAATACATTAGGTTTTCTTATCATTCTTATTTTATACATGAGAAATCTGAAGCAGAGAGGGGTCAAATAACAAAACCCTGAAATCAACAGACAGTGCAGTAGGAGTTTAAACCCAGATAGACTAACAGCTTGGGCTTCCCTGGTGGCTCAGATGGTAAAGAATCTGCCTGCAATGTGGGAACGCCCAGTTGCATCCCTGGTTTGGGAAGATCCCCTGGAGAAGGAAATGGCAACCCACTCCAGTGTTCTTTCCTGGAGAATTCCTCGGACAGAGGGGCTTGGCAGGCTAGAGTCCATGGGGTCACAAAGAGTTGGATGTGACTGAACAACAGACTGACTGCTCATACTATTCCTACAGAAATTCATAAAATTAAAGATATTTTTATAACTGTGGACATATTTGTTATATCAAGATAAAAACTAGTTACCAACAACAAAATCAAACCTGAAAATCACTGATCAAATCCTGAACACATGACGTCAAACAAGAATCTATTCATGAAAATGAAATTTGACATGTGAGAAACACATAAAAATCTAAATAATTTGAAACAAAGATCACTATCATCACGAAATGAATTTAATGCGTTGGAGCAGTCAGTTAGTCGGCCAAGGCCATTGGATGGTCCTGTGCAAGCAACACTGTTTCCTCCAGTGTCTGGATTCAAGTTTCCAATCACAACACCACTCTAAACAAGAGCAGTCCCCAGGATGCAAAGCATGCTCCCAATTAAAACCCCCACTATAGGAGAAATGCCTGCAATATTTCAGACAAGCTGAGTTTCATATGAAAGTTGAATGAGAATTTGAAAGAGTTTGGTAGATGGAGGTTAGTTGATTGACATAATAGTAATATTATCTTACATGTTCAGAATAGCCCGATGTCCTGATTTTACCCTGGCTTCCATCCCCCTTGAAGCTGCTTCTTCCTCCAGTTTTACCCCTTTCCACCAGTAGGCCCCTCCCTGGTAAAATGGGTCTCACGCAGGCAGCAAGGGCCCACCCCACAGCAGGCATCTACCTAGGCCCCTGCAGTGGCTGGGAGCACCCCCTGGGAAAAGATGTCCTACTAGAGTGAAACGTCAGCAAATGACCCCGTATGTTTTGTCCTGCTCATGTGCTAAAAGAGATGGTGTAGCTTCCACTTTCAGAAAAGTTCAGAGACAAGGTCCCTGGAGATTTTCCTCAACAGCTGTGAGGAGGACTTGGGAAGCAGATAAGTCTGCTTGACTGTCCCCCTCCTGCTCCTTCCACATAGTCACCCAAGGTCTGTTCATGGGTGGACAGAACACCATGGAGCTCCATGGCTCACGTTGAGGACCTCAGCCAAGCCTTCTTCAGGGCTGACACTTCTGAACACCTTCTACAGATGACAGACCAGGGGCTAATTAACATGCTAACCTTCTGACATGCTTCTAGGTTTTAAAGCCAGGCTCCTTCTCAACCCCCTCTCAATCCCAGGATGTTCTGATTGTAAGGAGTGGGCCAGACGCCACCAGAGCCCTCGGGCCATGGGACACAGAGAGCATCTGTGCTTCAGGCCCTCTGGGTTAAGAGGGAGAGACAGACTGTTCCGATCCAAGTACACAGGGGCCCAGTCAGACCCTCAGGGTAACTGTCTGTATACTGCAACACGGCTTTGTAACAACTTTGGGCAGAGGAGCCTTCAAAGACTGTCCCAAGGGCACAAAAACCACTCTGGCCCATTAGCACAGGTGATTATACTAAATGAAAAGCCTGAAGATATAAGATTGGCATAGGCTGCTCTTACTGATTTTATTTATCTTCACTAGAATCAGCTCTTCAGTACTGTTGCACGCTAATGTATGAAAAGGAGCAAACTGATAATTGCAAACAAAACTAAAAGAGTAAGCATATGCTTTGTTTTGACTTGTTTTGTTTGTTTTTTCAAAACAAATTCCTCAACCTTCTTTAAAATCAACCAAAATAAATAAAATAAAATCAACCAGTGTTAACACTGTTAATCTACTATAGTTGTAGTAGTAGTGTTAGTCGCTCAGTCGTGCCGGACTCTGTTGGACCCTATGGACTGTAGCCAGCCTCCTCTGTCCATGGAATTCTCCAGGCAAGAATACTGGAGCATTCTTGCCCTTCTCTAGGGGATCTTTCCAACCCAGTGGTCGAACCCAGGTCTCCCACATTGCAGACAGATTCTTTCCATCTGAGCCACCAGGGAAGCCCTAATCTACTATACTCCAATATAAAATTAAAAACTTTAAAATAATAATAACTATTAAAAAGTCAACTGGTATTAGTAGGGTGTCATGTTTAGTATAATAGGTCTTGATGAGATAGAAACCTCCTTCAAGATTACCAAGTTAACTCCAGAGGTAACTGCCTGAAACTTAAACGTCTCCTTCCACATCTCCTGATGGCTGTCTACCTCTAGGCCTTGGACAGATACAACACCTATCAGCAAGCCCATAGCAGAGAGACCAGAAGCCTTCTGGCTACTCAACTCTAGGGGCCTCTACTACCTCCTGACTCCTTACAGCTAGAAAACTAGAATTCTCACTTTCTTTAATTGGGCCACCTTTGGCCCCTCCATGCTTCCACAGTTCTGCTGAATATAGATACCTCTCATCAACCACAACTGTCCTTCCTTGGTTGTCCCAGCCCCACTCACCTGTCGACGGCGATGGCCAGCAGGGCGTTGGTGGAGACGTAGAGAGAGACCGTGCGCAGGTAGTTGACAGAGGCACACAGCACATGGCCATGCTCCCAGGAGAGCTGGCGTACCACGTAGTAGTCCATCTCGAAGGGGCAACAGACAATGGCCACCAGGAAATCAGAGATGGCCAGGTTGGCGATCAGCAGGTTGGTGAGGTTGCGTAGCTTCTTATAGCGGGCCAGGGCAGCAATGAAGATGAAATTGCCGATACCACAGACCAGCATGATACCCACCAGTGCCATGCCAATGACAATCTTGGCGGCAAAGAAAGTCCAGGAATTGGTCACATCCTCATCTTCATCCAAGGGCATATCATAGTCACCATAGCTGAAGTTGAAGGGCAAAGAAACAGCTTGGGCTCCAAGGGGGTCAAGCAGAGGGAAATAGTTGGTTGATGTATTGGTGGCATTCTCATCCATGATCCCCATGGTGATCTCCATCTGGCTGGTTGAAGCCTTGAGCCACACTCTTGGGAATTCCTCTGGGGTGATGTTGCTAGGCTGAGGTTTCCCCTTTCTGCCAAAACTCAGCTTTTCCTTCATGAGTCAGTGTGTCCCTGCAAACATCCTTGGGGTCCAGAATCCAAGCTTCATCCTAAGCCTTTGAAAGACATTACACACAAACCAGGCCAAATTAAAGCCATCCTGTAACCTGGCCCATTAGCCACCTGCCCAGAGTGAACACTGGGTTGGAATAGAAATAAAGGAACCAGGGGAAGAAAACAAAGGAATCCAAATTACATACCCACTCATTTAGGTAAGGTTAGATTGCTATAGAGACAAACAGGCACCAACTCAGTTTATTTCCATTCCACTGAAGATTCTGAATGTTGCACTTTTTCTCAGGGGCCAAAGTAAGGAGTGTGGGGAGGCTGAAGAGAACCAAAGTGACCTGCTCCAAACTCCTTTCCTTGTCTCGACAGCCTGAACTATGTCCTTGTGAAATTGTCCCATTCTGTGGCTTAAAAGAAATTGTTCTGAATCCCATTGAAGAAGCAAGGCTTTGAGACAAACCTGACCGCTCTCCATGAGCTGGCCTCCTTCCTTCTGGCAAAACACTGCTCTAAAATCACAGAACCTATGTAGCACCTGCCTGTCCCTCTCCTCCCTGGGTTTCCTATTCCTACATCCAAGGCAGCTGAGACCCTAGAAGCCAACACACAGCGTTGACCAAGGCCTGTCTCCAGACAGGGGCTGTAGGGACTGAATTCCCAGCCTAATCACCGAGTGACTTAGAAAGGGGACACTGGAGCAAAGTCCTTTCTGGGATGGTTGTGTGTCCTGAGATAAGAGTTTAGACATCCTCCAGGGCAAGAGATCAATGATGTCTGTAAAGCACTGAGCTCTGTGGAGAGGGAGGGTGTTACATCCTAGGACTGCAAGGAATTACTAGTGAGGACCAACGCCTCCTCGGTCAGCTGCAAGAAGAGGAGGGTCCACCTGACCCACATGCTGGGGCTGGGATATCGGGAGGGGTTGTTGGCTGCACCGATGGGGACAGAGATCCAAGAGCCTGCCAGAGTCCCCATGTCCCCTACGCTCTCCCTGCAGCCCAGTCCGTCCCACAGTCTGCAAGCATCAGACCAGGTTGCTGGGATAGAATAAGAAGGCTGGAGTCTGGAGAGCTCCGTGGAGGGCAGGAAATCCAGAGAGGGAGGGGAAATGTGGAAGTCTGAGGTTCCTGGGACAGGGAGACACCAGGAAGGCTCCAAGGACCCCTGGGAGAGCTTGCTGTCCATATCCCTCAAAGGTGACACGCCTGGAGCCTGCCTTTGGGGGCAGAACTAAAGTGCCTCTGCACCCCAGGGAGGCTCAGCTCCAGTTCCATCTCTCCCCCAACTCTTTGCCTCGATTTTCCTCAGATAGTTTTTTCCTCTTCTGAGCATCAGTTCTGCCCTTCTCAGGCCCTGCCCTTTGCCCCTGTCAGATCTAAGAAGCAGAATCCAGAGCCTAAACGGCAGAGGGTGTCAGGCTTGCCACTCAGGCAGGAAGGACCCAGTCAGGGTGGGACAGCCCTTGTCCCTGGCCGGCCCTGTGTGTCTCCGAGGCAGGGCACCTCTGAAAAAGGCCCTGCAAGCTTGCTACCTGGAAGACTCAGAGTCACAATTTTAAAACAAAGAGCATAAAAACTTGGGGAGATCGGGTGTTAGGAGCTTTGCGATTTGGGAGAAATTGTCCAGCGATCTTTTTCTTTCTCCTTTAGTCCCACCTCCTGGAGAGGAACCCCACTGTCACCCGCTGTCCTCTGGAGCCCCAGCGTTTAGCGCTCGCCCCCCTGGCCAGACCCCTCCCATCTCTGGAAGCCTTCCTTCGCAGCCCCTGCTGGTAAGCCGTCTCCGGCTCGCAACTTTGTCCTCCAGAGCCTCAGAGGCTACGCCTAAGGACAGAAGGAGCGGGCAGCCCGGCTCCGGTGAAGATATGAGCACGAGTGCGAGTCTCTTGGAAAGCCCCCTTCTCACTCAAAAGCCCCCGCGCCCCTGGAGTCCTTGGAGCATCGCTCCGGAGGGCGCGCTCTGTACCTGATTCATCCCGGAGTCCCGAGCCAGGCAGACGGAGTCCTGGGCTCTTTAGCCGGGGTCGGAGGACACGAGCCGCTGCTCGCAGAAGCCCGCAGGAAGAGCACGGTCCCCGCTCGGGGCTTTCTCCCTGCTAGGCTCGGCAGGAGTTGCGCTCTCGCCGCCGCAGATCAGAGGACCGCGGCTCCGCGGCGAGGCCACCCCGCCCCACACTCGCTGTCCCCGCCCCGGGGGCCGCGGGGCGCCGAGGGCCCGGGTGGCCGGCTCTGGGAGGCGTGCTCCGCCGGGTCCGCGAGGCTCCAGGAGACGCCGAGGCTGGGAGGTCTGGGCTCCAGGAGGGGCCACGTCGGGGCGCCCAGGCCAGCGCGCGGCTGAGGACCCGGGAGTCGCCCCCGGGCCGGAGTGTCGGGGATGCAGAGAGGAAGCTGGAGGCGAGGACACGCCGCAGGGAGCGCGCGTTCCCTGGGCTCAGACTCCGGAACGACCGCCCGGGGCGGGAACAAGGGCGGCGGCGCTGGGAGCTAGGCTCAGCGCCGACTCCGAGGTACCGACCCCGCCGTCCCCGGGGCTCGGGATTGCTCGGCCGCTCACCTGGCCTGCCCCAGAGCCATCGCCAGAATGGGCGGTAGGGCTGGGGAGCCGGCGAGATTTCAAAGAACCGGGAGGAGCCGCCCCTTCTGCCCACACCGCCCTCGCAGGACACACTGGGAGCAACTCAAACGTCGCTCCCCCGGGCAAGCCTAACTGGACGCGGGGGTCGGCTTCATTTCAGCCGTTTGACCCCGGTGTTACAGGCTCAGAGAACTGCTTTCCCGGAAGCAAGGAAGTTGGGGGAGGACAGCGGTGTGGATGCCGGAGGGAGAGCAGCCCCCCCCCCCCCCATCCACCCATCTAACCAGGGATATTTGTTCAAAATGCTAGGATGCTCAGAGCTAACTTACAGAGCACCGATCTCCTTCAAAAGTCTACAGATTTCTCAAGAACTTAAATATAAAATTACCTTGGGTAGCCTTCCTAATGGAGAAGGCAATGGCACCTCACTCCAGTACTCTTGCCTGGAAAATCCCACGGAAGGAGGAGCCTGGTGGGCTGCAGTCCATGGGGTCGCTAGGCGTTGGACACGACTGAGCTACTTCACTTTCACTTTTCACTTTCATGCATTGGAGAAGGAAATGGCAACCCACTCCAGTGTTCTTGCCCGGAGAATCCCAAGGACGGGGGAGCCTGGTGGGCTGCTGTCTATGGGGTCGCGCAGTGTCGGACACGACTGAAGCTACGCAGCAGCAGCAGCAGCCCTCCTAACCCAGGTATCGAACCCAGGTCTCCCACATTGGGCAGATTCTTTACCAGCTGAGCCACAAGGGAAACCCTGTAAAAGTACCTTGCTACTGCTGCTAAGTTGCTTCAGTCGTGTCCGACTCTGTGCGACCCCATCCCGGGATTCTCCAGGCAAGAACACTGGAGTGGGTTACCATTTCCTTCTCCAATGCATAAAAGTGAAAAGTGAAAGTGAAGTCGCTCAGTCATGTCTGACTCTTCGCGAGCCCATGGACTGCAGCCTACCAGGCTCCTCCGTCCATGGAATTTTCCAGGCGAGAACATTGGAGTGGGTTGCCATTTCCTTCTCCTAAGTACCTTAGGATCCAGTAATTCCACTTCCAACAATATCCAAAGCCAGGATTCAAATACTTGCACATGAATGTTCACAGCAGCGTTGTTTACATCAGGCTAAAGGGTGGAAACAACCCAATGTTCATCAGCTGATGAATGGAATTTTTTTTTAATGTGGTTACGCATACATTAGAATATATCTCATCCTTTAAGAAAGGAAGGAAGTATAAAAGCGTTGTTGAGGAAGTGGAGAAATTGGACCCTTGTGTGCGGTCGGTGGAAATGTAAAGTGATGCAGCCACACTGGAAAACAATATAGCAGGACCACAAAAATTAAAAAAAAAAGAATTACCATATGATCCAATAATTTCACCTTTGGGTATATCCCCAAAATTACTGAAAGCAGTGTTTGAAAGAGATATTTGTACACCCATATTCTTAGCAAGGTTATTCACAACAGCCAAAAGGTGGAACCGGCCCAAATGTCTATCAACAGATTAATGCATAAACACAAATGTAGCTTGTACTATACATACAACAGAATATTTTCCTGACTTGAAAAGGATGGAAATTCTGACATAGGATATGGATGAACCTTAAGGACATTATGCTAATTGAAATGTCAGTCACAAAAAGACAAATGCTGCATAATTTCCATTTATCTGCGGTACCTAGATGCATCAAAATCATAGAGACCAAAAGTAGAATGGTAGTTGCCGGGGGCTGGGGGGATAAGCGAAGGGGAGTTCCTATTTCATACAAACATGGTTTTAACTTTGTAACATGAAAAAAGTTCTGCTGGTGGATGGTGGTAATAGTTGCACAATAATATGAATGTACTTAATTCACTAAACTGCACACTTAAAACGGTTAAGATGGTAAATATTATATGTTGTTATTGTTTAGTCGCTAAGTCATGTCTGACTCGTTGTAACCCCATGGACTGTAGCCCACCAGTCTCCTCTGTCCGTGGAATTTCCCAGGCAAGAATACTGGACTGGGTTGCTATTTCCTTCTCCAGGGGATCTTCCAGACCCAGATATCAAACTGGCATCTTTTCTCCATTGACAGGCAGATCTTTACCTCTGAGCCACGAGGGAAGCCCAAATATTATATGTATTTGACCACAGTAGAAAAAAATGGGGCGAAAAAATGAAGTCTTGACACAATATGGGGGAATCTTGAAAACATGTTAAGTGAACAAAGCCAGACACAACAGGAAACACACATGACTCCACACATATGAGGCGCTACAACAAGTAGATTTATGAAGACAGAGAATAGAATGAGGAGGAAGTATAGCGAGTAATTGTC